GAACAGAGGAATTAATAGGTATCTATCTGTTTCTTCAACCTAGATTTTATGGTCTTCTAAATCAAGGACTTGTTCTTTTTCTGGGGGGGAAAAAAAAAAAAACTCATGCCAAAATTTGAGTATTTCATGTGCTGTTTTTTCTCTTATACTCTCATTCCCTTAAATGTCTACCTTTCCTCCCCTAATTTTCCTCACGTCACTAACACCCCTTTCCCTCCTGGTGTCCCCCAAGGATTTCCTGCTGGTGCCTTAGAGAACCCCTGTTTCATAGGAAATGCACTCTTTTCATCCTGCCTTTTTCTAAAAGAATGTTTTCTCCCACTCTTCACAATAACTCAGTAATTTTCAATCCTATCTGGACATTAGAATCACCTATAGAGCTTTTTTTAAAGGAAAGGAGAGTGAGAGAGGAAAGCAAACAATATCCAGGTCCCACCCTAGACTGATTAATTCAGTTTTGACAAGTGGGTGGGACTCTGTCCATCACTCTTATTAAAAATTCTCTAGATTATTTAAATGTATTGCCAAGCTGTGAATCACTGCCTAAAATCAGCATCTTTTCTGAGAGCACCACTTCTAATAGAGGCCATTCTTTCTGTCACATTTGATAAACAACAGAGAGAGGAGTGCCAGCATTTTTCTTGCAAATCTCTTTATTTATGTGAATCTAAATATATGTCTAGTTTGACGGCAGCAGTCCATCCTTTTCCATCGTTTGTTTTCCATCATTGTCTCACTAGGACCTTGACATCCCACTTAAAGTCACTTTCTCCCCCATAACTCCTACCATCATTCTGTGAGATCCCAATATGCATATGGTTGATCTCTCCATTGCCATAGCTAAAGAATTTTTGCCTTCCTCAGTTCACTCCAGCATCATCCATGGCCACACCCAGAGTTTGCTATCACCCACTATGGCTTCATCAGAAAAATCATTGAGTCTGTCATCCCAGCCTCTTCCTTTTTAGCTTATGTTCTCATGTTTCTCACATATACCATACCAAGGGTTTTTATGTTTATGGTGTTGTTGCTATTTTATTTTTGCTTTACTTTAAAGGGATAGCTACATTATTTATTTCCCCTCATTTTTCTGCCAGTCTTTCAGTCCCTGTTGCCTCACTTTCTTCCTGGACCGAATGGTTGACCTAAACTACTTTAGTATATTTATTTCCCTTGATCCCCAGTCAGCTGCATTGTCCCAGTGAAATCCTAACCCTAGTTCGAGCTCTCACACCGTTTTCTCTGCTTTTTAATCTCTGTACCTGAGCCCTGCTACAAATGGATGATTTCTATTTCTGTTAGGGCCTCAACATTTCAGGAAAATCTTTTTCTTTTCATTTCTATTTCAAATTCCCTCAATATATACTCCAAACTTTCACCTGTCTTTTCAATACCCACTTTACTCACAAGAATGACTGTATCTCCTCCTACACCAAGGAAATTGAAATTGAAGCATATTCTTTCTCAACTCTGTCCCCCTCAACCCTACCACCTCTAAACTCACTCAGCCAATAGCAAAAAGCCATGGAGTAACTGATCAAATTACTTTCTTGAAATATCTTCTCAGATGTTCCATAAGCACCTCAAGCTGCACTTAATTTTTCCCACCCTTCCCCAATCTTCCTCTGTATTGCTTATCAACCCAAAATTCTGCCAGTCATTCTTGACTTTTCTCTCCCTCTCTTTTACATCAAGTTCTGTCCTTTTAAATCCTAAATATTTCTTAAACGATGTCTTTCTGTTCCTACCACCGCTTCTCTATTGGAAACCTTCATCTCTCACCAGAGCTATTTCAGCAGCCTTCCGCCTCATTCAGTTTCCTGCAGCTCATTCTCTAAATGGTGCCAGAGTAATTTTTCATAAATTCAGGTTGGATCATGTCATTTTTCTCCTGAGAGCCTTTTAGTGACTCCACCTTGGCTGCAAGATAGCGTTCAAGCCCCTCAGTATGGAAAACACAACCTTTCATTATCCGACCTGCACTGTCTCACCTGCTTCATCTCCATTCCTCCCTATCACACACCGAAAATTTAATGCTGTAACAATACCCAGCTATTTAACTTTCCCAAAATATGAGCTGAAGTTTCATATGTTGGTATATTTGCTAATACTGTTTTCTTTTACCTAGAACATTCTTACATTTTTCCTTATCTTCCAAGGTTAAGTTTGAATATTTCAGGAATCTCCTTCTGTTATGCAAATAAAGTTAGGTGCCTAGCCCTTGCACTCTCATAACATCCAGTATATTCCTGAATTACTGCATTTGGCATATGGTATTAAAAATTCTGTTTCCACATCTATCTCCCCCACTAACATCTCTTTAAGAGCAGGAACCAGGGCTGGGCCAGGCGTGGTGGCTCACACCTGTAATCCCAGCACTTTGGGAGGCCGAGCGGGCAGATCACAAGGTCAGGAGTTCAAGACCAGCCTGGCCAACATAGTGAAACCCCATCTCTACTAAAAACACAAAAATTAGCCGGACATGATAGTGTGTGCCTGTAGTCCCAGCTACTCAGGAGGCTGAGGCAGGAGAATTGCCTGACCTGGGGGACGGAGGTTGTGGTGAGCCAAGATCATGCCACCGCACTCGAGCATGGGCAACAGAGTGAGACTCCATCTCAAAAAACAAACAAACAAAAAAAAAAGAATTACCTCATTCTTTTTAATGGCTGAATAGTGTTCTTTATGATGAATATGTACCATAATTTATTCATTCTCTTATTGAATGATACGTGCTTTCAATTTTTCACTATTACAAATAATTCTCCAGTGATTATCCTTGAACAAATATTCTCATGCTGTTGTTCATGTAATTCTGTAGGAGAAATTCCTTTTTTTTTTTTTTTTTTTTTTTTTTCTGAGACAGAGTCTCACTCTGTCTCCCAGACTGGAGTGCAGTGACATGATCATAGCTCACTGTAAGCTCAAACTCCTGTGCTCAAGCTGTCCTGCTGCCTCAGCTTCCCAAGTAACTGGAACTATAGGCACATGCCACCATGCCTGGCTAATTTAAAACATTTTTTTTTTCTTTAATGATGGGGTCTTGCTGTGATGCCCAGTCCAATCTCAAATTCCTGGCCTCAAGTGTGGGATAAAAGTAGAACTGTTGAAGGAGAGATGCATTTTCATTTTGTGTTAACAAGTCACTCACAAAAAGGTGATACCCATTTGCAGTTCCTGCAATAGGTATTAAAGTGCTCTTGTCCCCACACGCTCACTGGCACTGAGTATTAATGGAAGATCTGCTCTTGTTTGTAGCCCTAGGAAAGAATCCAGTTTAGAGGAGGAGTTTGTAAATTATAAGAAAAAGAGATGATTGACAGGCTATAGTCACAGAGGGGATGGGTCAAGATGGTATCAAGAGTGCAAATAAAAGGTAAATTTTTTTGAGACATTAGGAGAGGAATAGTAGATGGGTGAATATGGAAATAAATACAAATGAAGGAAGAAATTTTTCATGTAGTCATCTTTATTTTAGGGAAATTAGAAGCCAAGTTCCCAGTTGAGATGGAGGATTACCAAGATGGAATTTTGAATAAAGGTACAGAAAAGCTTCTGTGAAAATGCTGTAAAGAAGCAGAAGGCAGTCAGTATTGGGAGTTCGACTGAGCTGAGAATGAATCAATTTTGGGGAAGCCAATGGTTGGGGTCACATTAATTTTTCTACAAGAACAAGCAGAGATGTAGTCATTGGATTTGCCTGGGTTTGGGGCCTCTGGGTTGACATAAATTTATATAACATTCACAATAAGGTACTTTTATTTTCCATATTTTCCTGTTCCATGAGTGCAATTTGTATAACCCTAAGTTACACATCTTCTGGTTGGTCTGCAGAGGAAAATGACCTCTGTGTTCTGATTTTAAAAAAAAAGGAGAGAGTATCACTTGTACATTTCCTTGTGCCTACTTTATTAAGCCATATAACTAATGATTTTATTTTCTTTATATAATTCTGAACATAAAACCATTTGCTTTCTTGGTTTTTATTAATAAATTATGATACAAGCAAACACTGCTAAAAATTCTGATCAGTATAAACCAGAGACATTTATAGAAGATTATGTGATTTGACTACTGGTCAAAGGCCACCTGGAATAAGTGATAGACCTGGCAACACTCCATTCAGCTTATTCTTGTCTAGAGATTCCCTCTGCTTCTGGGGAGTTTAAACATTTTAATTTTAGAATCTTGTGTTTTCAGTAGCTGCCTCTATGCATTTCCAAGTCTTTTTCTTTAATTTTCACATTATTTATGGGCATGGGGAAGACAAAACCAAAGTGTCATGAGTTTGTTGTGAACAAACATGAAGAGGGAACAATGAGAGATAACACATCATTAGAATATTTCTCGCTAAAATAAGAAAATATTATAAGAGGAAATGTGCTAATGGTGGGAACACAGTTTAATAGAGAAGAAAATATGTACATGTGTTCATTTTCATTAAAATGCCTATTCTATATTTGTCTTGTTGACCTTTCAATGAAATTATGTAAGTATGGAGTCTAGTTCTTCTACATACATTGTTACACTACTTCTTACATACTCTGGGTACATAATAAATACTGATAACAATTGAAAATTAGAAACACAAATGCATTTGTGGGAGGCACATTGGTGATATTTTAATCCCTAGTATTCATTTTTAGTACTTGGAAAACATCTTAGATATGCAAGTCTTGTTTTAGCATACTTTTTATTTCTATAGATAGCCTGGTTCTTAGTCATACTCTGCGACTTTATTAGCTGTTTCATCAGTTTGAATCTTATTTCCCCAAATCCCAGTGTGAGCTTTTTGAGAATAAAGACCATTTCTTTTCCAAAATTGTTGTGACAGGACACAAAATAGATGTTGAGTAAATTACTTAAATTACACCTCAATAAAAAGTAAGATAAAGAAAGTTCTTAATGAATTGCATTTAAACCCATATTGAATTTAAATATCTGTATGCTCTGTGTCCCCTTCTGTGCCTTCAACAGTTTATTCATCGTTGTTCTTTCAGTTTATTAAAGTCAAACTGCGATGGCTGGCTGCTTGGAACATCATCATCCATTAAAAAGTACCAAGAAACCCCAAACAGTGGAGAGAATAGGAAGGAGAAGAAGACAGTTGGGTTTCATTCGCATATGAAAGATGATGCCCAGTGGTCATGTCAAAAGAAAGATACGTATAGACCCCAAAGAGGTAAGTTTAACAACTGTAGTGGCAAAATGAGAAGCTGGTAGGTGAAGGTAGTTGCTAGCCAGTGAATTTCAGATGATTTCCTACAATGCTGAGCAAAAGTCAAATGTTTACGCACTGAAGTGTGCCTGCAAGGCCACAGGTAACACATTTACTAGATTAGTGAATTGTATCTGCGTTTTTTTTAGAACACTGGAATGAAAAACTGTATCCAACTTGCCCCTCTTTTTGCAAGCAATACCTGTTAAGAATTAGTCAGCAGTAAGTATGGTCATAGACTAAAATAATGTTCCAAGTGAGTAAAGAGGGTAAGATACTGAACATAAATCTCTCCTGGAAAAATAAACCCTAACAACTACAGTTAATCCTCAATTGACTGGAATCATGGGGAGGGTGAAAGAGAGGTCATGGACAACTCCCCATATTGTGACTAAAGCAAAATCTCACAAGTGTAAAGCATATTTTGCCTAGCAGTCTTTTTAACTGTCAGTAATACTTCCTGTTATTTGTGGTAGATTTTAAAGAAATCAATTATAAATAACTATGTTAAATGTTGAGTGAAGCAAATTTATTTGTTTCCCAGTTCCAGGAGAGGCTTTTGGCTTAATCTATCCTGGCATCCTTACAGGATCGACTTTGGAAAAGAATGGAGCAAATCTGAGCTTTATTGTACAGAAAAGATGTACAGGAAACAAAGGCCCAAAAAGACGTCTGAGCCCTCTCCTGCTCACACTTCTTTCCTAGGTGTCTTTTTTCCCTTCTCACAACCATTAATCCTGATTTCCTTCTTATTTACCTGTTTTTCTACTGGGCCAGGACCTTTCTACCTCTGATGTCATGCAACCTACTTTTCATAATCTCTGTAGCCACTCTTACATTTATTTATTTGAAAATTGGGCAGTGCTTTGTGAGATCTTGCAGTTGTGTATCTCCCTGCCTTTTTTCATCTGCTACTAGCTCTGTCATGCTTTTTCGGTTTGATTATGATTAATCTAGAAATTGTTTAATCCTATTCCACATAATTGAGAGATGATAATTCATTCAAATTTTGGGAGGGAAGACTATCCACAATTTGAAATAAAAGCAAAAGTACGTTTTGTTTGACATAAGGCAAAGAAAGGTTTTGTAGACTTCCATTGCTTTAGAACAACTTAGAAGTTTCCTTTTGGACATTGCTTCCAAAAATAAAACTTAAATTGAAGAAACTTTATGAGGTAGAATCTTTACTTTCTCTGTTAGCGGTCCTTCAGAAATGGAAAACCCTTACCTCAGCTTCCTCTGCTCTTAGTCATTGCACTTTGGAGAGTGAAGAACTAGTCGCAACTGGTGTGGTGGTTACACTGCAAAGCTTAACATAGTCTTCGGTTAACTTGTCTTCAAATTTGTGTTGTGTGGCAGCACTAAGATAAAATGGCAAAATGAGAAAAAATATAGTGTAATAGCAAAAGAACAAATAACTTGTGTTATTGGTTAAGACCACAGCAACAGTAGAAAGCAGCAATTGAAAAGGCACTTTGAGAAAGATATCATCAGGCCAGCCCTTGCTGTGGTGGAGGTTAATCTCTCCTGGGCCTAGCTACAGAAGCCAGAAGCCTGAAAAGGGCTTGTGTCCAAAAAAAATCAATTTCTAATTTGAAACAAAATCATTTTTGACTAACAGGGGTTCAGAGCCCATTACTTTTTGCTGTATAGTCTGCTGACATTTCAGCACTTTCTGTTGTGCACAATGAATCCTAATAGTCATTTTATAATGTTGCTATACCAATCAATTTAACCAAGAGAAAGCTGTTACAATTCTGCAAAGTTTTCAGGAACAGTTTTCACTCATGGTTTTATTTTTTCTTCCATTAGGTTTTTTCCCCCTTTTTTTTGTGGGGGTGGGGGAAGGTTGTAGTGTTGCAGTAAAAAAAAAAAAAAAAAGAATAGAAACTTTTTCATCTTTTTAAGAGTTTTTATTTTAAGGCATTCACAGAAACTACTGACTCTTTTCTACTCATGAAGAAGACCTTCTTGTATTTTCCTTTTCTTTTATTGTAATATGGAGCTGTTAGCAAAATTATGATCTACATGACCATTAAAGAGACTAAAGTTGCCCCCCTTTGAGCCATTCTGCCCATTGCACAGCTAGTGTATGCAGATTATAGTACAGGGCAAAGTTATTGCATTGGCATTTGCTGTGGCACCCAACCAAATGGGAGATATAAACTTTCCATGGATGCGCAGTAGACTTGGAAACCCTGTTTATCATAAGGCCGATGACCTGGCACTAATCACCTAAGTTACACTGCTTGGTTTAGCACCTTCTTAATTGCTTTACCCTCTTTAGTGTGTCTGAATTTTTTAATACACTTTTCTTCTGTCTTATATCTTTTGTTTCTTTTGCTGTTATCCTTTACTCATTAAGTACTACATAGGACATTTACTACAGGACCATTAATCTTTATTACCAGTCTCTTACTCCCTTACCTCTCCTATCCTCCTCACCATTCTGCCAGCTTTATGATGCTAAACATGTGGGGAAAAAAAAAAAAAACCAGACTGTTGTCTCAAGAAACAACCTTATGATAGCAAAGATATGTACAGTATTGTCAAAATTACACTTAAGGTATATAAACTTGTTCATTCATCAGTTTTAGTTGCTTTTATTGAGCAGTGTCAAACAGGGAGATAATACTTGGGAAAATCTAAACTTGAATACAGAACTTTTCAAAGGCATAAATCTGGAAACACCTGATCTTCATTCCTCTTTTTTCCTCCCTTGCAGCCTCAAAACATTTTCCACCAGCTTGCCTAGAACCTCCCTTTCCTGAGCAATCATCGATATTCCCTTTTATCAGAACCCTCAAAGCTGAGGGCATTTTTTCTTGTTATGGTGATGGGCTAGCAGAGGCTGTGAAGCCACTGAGCGCGCAATTTCCAGAACTGAAATGTTAAACCTCTGATCTTGGCACTGCCCCTTCCTAAGTCAGGCTGTAAAACCTGACTTTGGCCGCTCCCTTCCTCCTTTTTGTTCCTCCTTCGTGAAACTCTTAAATTCCCTTAAAATGTTGGCAGAGGCTGAACCTAGGATAATTTGGATTTACCTGATGGTATACGTTGTGCCCTTCATTTTGCCTTTGGGGTTTTCTTAGGTTATTTGATTTTATATAGCAGCTGCCACTGGTTGAGATCCCCTAGTAACTCCCACTTTTTTTTCCCCACTGGACGATGATTATTCTAGACTCAGCTGAAGTAAAGAATAATCTCAGAAGCTCCTAGTTGTTCCTGTAAGTGAACCTGTGCTTAAAATGATGTGAGTACTCTTCATAACCCCAGGTGGATTAAAGTAGGTGACATGCTTAAAGAAATGAACAATTGGAGTGTCCAAAGTACAGAAATCATTTCTATCTTGCCTCTAAGGAGCATTTCTCATGTTTCTTTAATTATTACCATCATGATCATTATTCTTTGTTCAACCATAAAGGTACCTTAAGATACTACTTCTGATACCCAGAAATCTCAGCTGAAGATACGCCAAAAGTTGATGTCTTTGTCAACAGCACATAGAATGCAAGCATCATAGAAGGCTATGAATAAACCCAGATATGTAGAATAAATCTTCCTGGCCAGTCCACTAAAAAAAGGAATTCAAATGTAGGAGACTAGTGTTAAGAGTTGATGTTGATATATATGAAATATTATCACCTAAACCAGAGGGTCTACATTTCCCATTCTCTAAAATGGAAAGAAATTTCTCGAAACACTATGTGGTCTACTTATTTATTATATATGTTTTGTATCTTCTCCCTCAGAATATAAGTTCCATATGTTCACTGTTGTATCCCCATCTCCTACAACATTGCTTAACATGTGGTGTGGTAGGTACTCATTATACATTTGTTGAATGAATTAACATAACGTATATATTGATTTTTCTTTCGATGCCCTTATTCTGTGACTCAGGTAGACTTTTTCACCTCAGTACCTGCTGTGATTTATTGATTTAAGCAAAATATATGCTTGTCTCTTCAAAGTTCTTATGGTGATCAATTGGTAATGCTAAAGAGAAATCAGTAGAGTGGACTCTTAAAAATAGTACTGGTCAGGTGTGGTGGGTCACGCCTGTAATCCCAGCACTTTGGGAGGCTGAGGCAGGAGGATCACCTGAGGTCAGGAATTTGAGACCAGCCTGGCCAACATGGTGAAATCCCATCTCTACTAAAAATAGAAAAAATTAGCCTGGTGTGATGGTGTGTACCTGTAGTCCCAGCTACTCAGGAGGCTGAGGCAGAAGAATTGCTTGAGCCTGTGAGGCAGAGGTTTCAGTGAGCCGAGATCACTCCACTGCACTCCAGCCTGGGTGACAGAGCAAGACTCTTGTCTTAAAAAAAAAAAAAAAAAGTGCTGCCTTAGGAGTCAAGAAAATATGGGGGGAGGGGGTTCTATTGTCTTGTATTTTAATTGAAGTTTAATTTATATACACTAAATTGTAGAGGCTTTAAATGTATAGTGTGATAAATTTTGAAAAGTATATATACCCGTGTAACCACTACCCCAATTAAGATATAGTACATTTCCATTTTCAATAAATCCTCATCCTCTTTTCTAGTCAATCCTCCTGAGGCCTTTCGTCTTGGGTTGCTGATGGCTGCCTTCTCACTGCATCCTCACATGGCCTTTTCTGTGTGTGCATCCCAGGAAACGCTTCTGCTTCTTATAAGGACACCAGCCACTCTCAGGCCCACCCCTATCACCTCATTCAACTTAACTACCTCTTTAAAGGTCTTGTCTCCAAATATAGTCATTTTCTGAGGTGTCCTGGACTTTAGGACTTCAGATTACTTAGGGAAGGCACAACTAAGTCCATAACCACTTTCTTTCCAATTTTTGTGCCTTTTCTTTCTCTTTCTTATATAATCAGACCATTTAGGGGTTTTATTACAATATAGAATACAGTGAAAAAAGTAGACTTCCATGCCTTGTTCCCAACCTTGTAGGGAAAAGATAGTCTTTCACCATTAAGT